AGGGCCAACATGGTGTCTCGGTAAGGTGTAGGGGAGTGCAAGAAGAAGTCTGCTATTAGACAAGCATCGTCTAATTTCAGGTGGTCAACCAGTACTTGATATTTGAACATCTCAGTACTATCAGGATTGCGGCTTATATCAGGTGAATCAAGAATAGTGGCAATCCGTCTTAATGCTACCTGGTGGGGCTGACCGAACCGCTCAATGAGGGCCAACATGGTGTCTCGGTAAGGTGTAGGGGAGTGCAAGAAGGAGTCTGCTATTAGACAAGCATCGTCTAATTTCAGGTGGTCAACCAGTACTTGATATCTGAACATCTCAGTACTATCAGATGGCAGAAGATTGTCCAAGGCTATTTTTAATCGAGCAAACTCACTTGGATCTTTGGTACGGAAGTAAGGAATGGTGGGGGATGGACCTTTGTAATATTTCTCTGTCAGATCCACAGATGTCACGGGAGGTGACACATTATAGGAAGCCATCCTGTGTTGCTCAGGATAAAGATGTCCTGGTTGTTTATGTGCATACGGAGGGCCTATCTGTCGGGCAGGATACTGGCCATACCTGAGCCGGTTATCATACGAACTTGGATAGCTGAAATCCCTAGTCTGCTCAACTGAAGTGCGTCTAGGGGTAAGTGTCGGTGTGGCCCTTGTAGTGCTGTATAACATTTGCTTGCCGCACTGATTAATATTTTCTGGCTCATCGTATGCAATAGGTGGAGGAGGCTCTGGCCAGCCTTCATCTCCCGCATCCGCTGCATGGTGAAATTTAACGGATGGATGGTCAGACCGGGTGTTGGACATAGATAAAGGCCTTTACAGACTACAGGCTCTGTCTAAAAGCGGAATCAGCTCATCTTTGGCTGTCTCAATCCGTTTAAAATCAGCTTGTATGGCCTGCTGTGTTTCACGAAGCTTTAAATTGTCCTCTGAGATCCTTTGTAACTTTAGGGAGCTAGCATCTGATCTATCGCTCTGGTATCCATCAACTTCATCACCAAGGGGAACGAACTCTGCATTGGATTCAAACTGTAGTTCTCGGTTTGGATATTGTGGTGATGTCTGGTGGGCAGGACTGGACATGTGCTGCTGCAGAAGACTTGGACGGCCACGATGCTTATCCCTGACCATCAGCCTCGAAGGAGAAGAAAAGGTAGGTAAACTGTGTGCTCTCGTAGGCTTTGCAGCAGATGCTCCAACGGAAGCTCTGCAAGTCCACCTCATAGTCTTGTAAATAGACTGGACGACGCTTTGGGTGAACCGAGGGATTTACTGGTTCAGAACTGGCTGACATCTTAATCCAGAGAAGTGATCATCCGGCTCGAAGGACCATTTGTAGGATTTGGAAATTTTGCGTTTATCTTTAAAGGACTGTGGAAGGGATCACTTGCCCTGGTGGGCTGGTCAGAACCCAGGAACTCAGTCAACAACAGTTCTTTCTTTGATGACTTTACTGTGCTATGGAGCATGTAATAGGTGTGGTCTGTACAAAGATAACAAATACAATAAAGTGAATAATACAAACTTCAAATTCAATAATTTGACATTATCAATATTACTGGAAATAAGTGAAATGCTACAGCTCAATGGATTGCCATATTAGCATCTGAATAGGCCATTTAACCACAATCTTCATTAACACACTTATACTTGCAATTCACAATAGACAGATGAACTATCTCAACGTAGAACATGAGAACAGTAGAAATAAAGCGATTATAGAATTTCACGGCAGATATACATAACGTGCATGTAAACAGGCGCTGGTTATGCACGCTCAATCAATCGAAAATAATTACCATAGCTGCCAATGCCGGCAAGATTACAACTTAATCTCAATATTAAGCATAGTTTAACAAGAACAACTCACTTTACAGGATGCACGCACACATATTACACCTGGATTTGGTTCGGCTCGCATCTCTTCTCTCAAACTTTGCTGCGCAATCTTAAAATGGCGACAAGTCTTAAAGGGGTCACGCACGCAAGCCGTTTGTACAATGTGATTACTGGCCCAGACATTTTATTTAATAATCGTAATGTCGTAATGTATTTGCATTTGCTGTATGATACCATTGGTATTCATATAATTCACTTTTTTTTCGTGTACAAATATATCCAGTAAGATAAAAACATCCGAAGGTTTGAATGCGACTCAATTGATGTCATTGACTTTCTGAGCCACCAGGCGCCCCCTGGAGCGCCCCCTGGAGGAGGTAAACATCGTACGACACAGAAATGAGCTGTACGCACAGACGTCTATGGTCCATCATCAGCGGAGCTCTGAGATGTTCAGTGGTGTCGGGTGACCGAACAGCGTCATACAGAGCACCTGTTTGTGTGGATCACGACGTGCCAAACCCGTTATGTATACTGAAACCTCGCGAAAACAGCAGAAACACATCTTCAAGGGCATAATAGTCTGATCTGGGTCAATTCAGAATAATGGCAGCTCAGAAAAATAAACACGGACTCCTGGCTATCAAAGAGTTAGAGAATATTCTGGACACATGTAAACTTGATCTGAATCCAGTCGACGAGGTCTGGCCGAACTTGTACATCGGAAACTTGTAAGTATTACTACATAACTGATCATGTGGTGTTGTAGCGTATGCAAATGACGCTTCTTTAAAGATGTATAGCACGCGAGCAA